TTTTTGTTTACTTTTTTCAGAGATGGGTATTCCATTGCCATTCATGTATTGTAGGTGCATGAATTCAGCAAAGTAATCCAATATATATTAGTGAAATTTTAATTCCGCATTTGTATGTTCTTCACTTTTTTTTTTTTTGTATTTAGGGCAGGGCCTATAGGGTCTACAGGGTCTCACAGTGTAGCTGGACTTGCAGTCCTTCTTCTACAGCCTCCCACATCCTGGGATTACAGGTGTGTGCCACCACACCCAACCTCAGTCACAGTCTCAGCACACCCCGGGACAGGCCCGGTACGGCAAGCCTGGGGATCGAACTCCCGTGCCCTGCTTCTGCCTAAGCAGGTGCTTTAATCTGCTGAGCTATTTGGCTGGCCCTGTTCTTCACTTTGACAAGTGAAATACAAACTTTCCTTATAGAAATAGAAGTAAAAATAAAAATAGAGCATTATTTTCTAAATTTTGAGCATATGTGGTGGCTAAGATAAGTGTTCCAGCTCGCAACTTCCATACTGTTTTTCTCAAATCTAGAACCCAGTAGTAAGATCTACCCAGTAAGCCTCTTTAAACATCTGTAGATGTCACAAATGTAGTTTGTGTGATTTGTGCCTTGGTCTCTGGAACAAAGTTAAACTACAACTAATTAATAGTCGCTAGGCAGCTGCTAGAAGTATTTTGGTAGGACAGTTATTCTGGGGGGAGGAAGAGCCAACAGTGAGAAAAATGAAATCAATATAAAAATTGACATCAAATTACAGAGTTGCAGGGCAGAGCTGCCAGGCATGGACTGCACTGCCTTTCTGGCCCGTGTCTTCCGTCTCCTCCTCCCTGACCTGTGTTGCTCAGGTGTACATTGTTTTCCATATAGCTCAGTATGGTCCTTAATGCTAACCCTTAATGCTACCTTCAAATTGTTTATGGCTTCTGATCAAACTAAGCCAATTTTGGTGGCCCCCTTTCTCCTGCCAGTGATGGGTTTAGAAAGACACAGGACGCACTTCTGTCCAGTGAGATCTGCAAGGCTGTGTAGTGAGCCTGCGGAGAAGATCACCTCTCTTTTCAGAGAAAAGGTAAAGGAAAAGATGGTGTGCTGGCTCCCGTGCCACTCACTGTATTGGGAAATTTTTAGTTGACTTGTGGCTACAGTAAGTATTTAGATATTACCATTTAATTTGATGGCTGATTAAATATGCATTGTTAAAGAAGTAGAGGGTGTTGCTTATTCTTTTATAAACTGTATCGGTAGAGACTTACTTTAAAACAGTAGAAATCGACCTGTCAAATTCTGCTTTGCTTTGTTACTAGACAAACTGGGGTTTATTTTTCTCAACCCTCAAAGTTTTCAGGTTCAGATACTTGGATGCCCTTCATGTTTCCGCTCCATCCTTCAGGTTTTTCACATGCTTGTCAGTTCATGGTCACAAGTGATTGCTGCGCCCTCAAGCAGGAGGGGAGGGAGGGAGGGACACAGTGGGGTACAGACTGAGCCTGCCAGCTATTACCAAGAAAACAGAAGCTTTCTTGGAAGCCCACTCAGAGATCCCCTGCTTGAATCTCACTGGCCACCGTGTATGGGCAGGGATGGCTGTCCACTGGGCCAGCTTCATGCTTAGCACCCACAAGAGGGTTGAGCCAGCTAGTCGCTTAAAGCCACTTCTCTTTGTTGTGCTGGAATTGTGTCTTCTGTGGCTGCTGCTTGCAGTGTGTGTAATACATTTTCTCTGATGTAGCTTTAGGTATTTTAATTCAGTAATCCATTTTAAAGTTAGTATACTAAACTTAGGAAGTAGGATCTTTAGTTTTAAAATTGAAAATTAGTGCTTCTGGTGAAATATATAAATTTGAGCCACATTAACACCAATTAAAATTTTTTATTTGAGCCAGATATTGTAGTGATTTTTAAATGAGTTTTACAGTTTTTATGTGAAATGTATCCCCTATTAGGAAGCACAGAGAGGCTGTTCTGAGTATTTAAACTGAACTCCAGGGCAGTTATAATACAAAGTACCTTCCTCAGGGTTCCTTATGAGGAAGGAGATCCATAATCCCGTAAAACAAGGGCAGTGTTGAGTATTTGCTGTTGTATTCAAGCTGTCCCTGCGCAGACTCAGGTGATTCTGCGCTGTGTCCTGAGGTCTGCCCCTGTGCCTCCTCCTGCCCCACCTCCAGGCTTTCCACACATGTGTTTCTTGCAGCCATTGACATAAATCATTTGAGGAAATATGGGAAAGAATGAAGTAAATGTGGTTCCCCATTCCTGCTCTCGGGGGTGCTGCCTGATATGGATAAGAGCAAGGTGGGGACAGGCTAGGGTGGGGTCCGCACCATGGGAACAGAGACACAGCTTTGCGTCTTGGCTGGCTGCTGCAAGTCACCGAACAGGGACGGGGCCTGCTTCCGGGCGCCTCGTGTAGGATTCTAGACCTGGGTACATAGGGAGGAGCCACTGAAGCTCTGCTAAGCTGAGTGCTGGTTTAGGTTCATCTCAGTAACAGAAGAAAATCATGAGGTTTTCATGTTTACTTTCCCTACCAGGTTTTCTTTTTAGTTTTTTATTGCTTTGGCTAGAAAAGTAAAGGAGTACTAGATGAAGCATGTATGCTGCCAGCCTTGGCAGGAGAGAGAACCAAATGAGCGATTGAATACTTGGTTGTATGGTGCATAGCAGGATCTCTCTTACTACACAACTTCTTCCTAAAATCACTGTGCAGAAGGGGAAGAGCAGGGAGTCTGATTATTTTATTTCTGTACCTGAGAAGAAAGCTTATTTAGTAAACCTAACATTATGTTGCCACAACTTCTTAATCCAGTTAAGTTCTTCACAGTTATTGAAGACCGTACTGCATGTTGAGGCTAACTAGAAACAGTGACCTGCTTCTTAATCATTGTCAGGAAACTGCATTCAGAGAATGAGAAGAACACCCCCCCTGGACGAGCTGCAGCCGCCACCGTATCAGGATGACAGCGGTTCTCCCCACCTCTCATGTACACCCTCAGAGATTGGGGACAGTAAGTGCGAGTTTTCCCACTGCAGCAACAGTCCAAGATGTTCATATAACAAGTGCCCAAGCGAAGGAAGCACAGGTCATGAAGTAGAAAGTTTCCATAATAAAGGATATGAAGAAGATGTTCCGAGCGACAGCACTGCGGTCCTAAGCCCAGAAGTAAGTAGAAGTTGGAGCGAATGTTGTTTGGAAGGTAATACCGTCATCCTGTGTTCTCTTCTTGCTAGAAGAATTTTTTTGTTTTGGATTGGTTTTCATTTTTTGTTCTGGGAATCAAACTCAGGACCTTGCGCTTGCCAGGCAGGCGCTGTGCCACTGCGCTGTTTCCTGGCCCAGAAGAATGGGTTGTAGCACTGTCTTGTCTGCTCACTCATAGCTTATTTTGCCAGCTTCCACCCTTCCCCCATGCTCTGTCACACACCTGTCAGCACTGCCCCACCAGCTGCTCAGAACTCCTACTCCAGTCGAGGGAAGATGTATTGCTAAGGAGAGGTGGCTATTGTTTTCAGACACTTTATATAAAACGTCCTAGAGTTACATACCTTTTCTTTCACCTGGAAGTTACTGTTTTTAATTTTTATTATTTTACGTTTTTATTTATTTATTTATTAGTACATGTTTGCCAGACATACTGACTACTTTGATTGTGGGTGTTTGGTGCAGCATGACACATCCTAATTCCTGTTTTATGCCCCTCCCTGCTCCCCTGTGCACTCCTCTTACCTCCTCCTCCTGTTTCCTTTTATCTTTTATTTTGTTCTTTGTTCATATTTGCATTTATCATATAAGAGAAATTATAGTATTCAAGCTTGTGTATCTGATTTACTTCCCTTAATTTTGTTTTCTTTCTTTCTTTTCTTTTCTCTCTTTTTTTTTTTTTTTTTTTTTTTTTTTTTTTTTTTTTTTTTTTTTTTGTGTGTGTGTGTGTGTGTGTGTGGTACCGGGGATTGAACTCAGGACCCTGCGCTTGCCAGGCAAGCACTTATTCTACTGAGCTATCTCCCTGGCCCCTTATTTTGTTTTCAGGGAGCATCCATTTTCCTACATATAGTTCAAATTCATCCTTTTTTGTAGCAGAGGAGTATTCCATTGCATATCAATACTACATTTTCTGTATCCATTTATTTGTTGATGGATAGTACTAGACTATTACAGTGTTTCACTGTTCTTTCAAAATAATCTTACTGTATTTTCATTTTACAGAGTATGAAAGGGGTCAGTGATGATTAACTTTACTGATGAAATTTTAATCCATGGTATTCATGTATTCAGAGTGGTTGGTTAGTTGAGTTTAAATTACTTTTTTGAGCAAAAATGTAACAGTGACAACAAAAATAATTGCAGTTTCAAAGTATTGCTTTCTAAAGAGCATTTGTTTTAGTCTTTGTGATCATGAAACCTATAAAGGTGACAAAGAGGATGTCACAGCATAGTAGTTATTTGGGGGATTCACTTTCCTTACAAGTTTTCAGTTGAAAGTTTTTACAACTTTATTCCTGAAATATTCACTAATACTGTAGTATCTGTATTCTTCAATGGTGAACCTCTGATATGTCAAACTAAGCTAGTTTCGCAGTACACAGAGCAATTAAACTATGGATAGAATTTCTTTACTTTTAATGTTTTTCTTCTAAAAAGAAAACTTTAATACTTTTCTGGTATCTCTAGCATTGTAGTTTTGTTTCTTTTGTTTTCTTTTCTTTTTCTTTCTTTTGGTACCAGGGATTGAACTCAGAACCTTGCACTTGCCAGGCAGGTGCTTATGCCACTGAGGCATATCTCCAGCCCCTAGTATGATAGTTTCTATCAGAAGAAAAAACTTCACATTGATATTTTAATATATTAGTACTTCATGATTTTCTAAGAACATTTGTGTTCTAGCATCTAGACAAATTTAAGGAGGTACTTTGTGGTTTTTTGCACACCATGAAGATAGTCAACAGTTAACAGTGAAACCTGAATTGTAAAATTAATAGTAATAGGTGAAATTTTGCTGTGAGCTTTAAATAGTCAGCTCATGTAATTCTACCAGTCACAGTTTTGGGAAGTTTGCCCAGGCAACATCAGCTCTTCAACAGTGGACTGTAGTTCATACCCAGGTCTGCCTGCCAGCATACGTGGTGCTTTCAGCAGGTGTGTTCTGTTGCCCGCCTGCTCTGGGTTGTGTGGGAGATCACGTAGGTGCAGCATGCCCACCACACATGCCGCCAGATGACTCACAGACCACGTCTAGCAGCACAGATGAGGTGCCTGATTGCGCATGCTTTTATTTTAATCCACTCCAGATCTAAAGCATGAAGTAAGAGGAACAAAACAAGGTAGGCTAGGATGCCAGCAGGTGTAGGTAGAAGGCCGCAGTGTTGTCCTGGCTTGTGCCTGCCCATCCGCCCTGTCTCTGGTCGGCATTCTCCTTTGTGATGTGGTAACAGGGACCAGAATTGGAATTAGCACAAGGCTATCAAAGAGCCAATAACCTATACTTGATTTATGGGAGTGATTTAAGAGTAAGTACAACTGGCCACCCCTGTAGCAGTTAGTCTA